AATGTGGGGAATGAAGACCGCTCTTTGAAGTAGAAAACATTCTATTGTAAAGATGTTAAAGCCTCATTTGTCCCTTTGTTTTATTTAAATGCCAAATTATTTCGTTATTTCATAGATAAAATGTCTTATAGCTCTTAGTTTTTTAAAACTTTAGCTCTTAATTTCATTAAAAAGTAGATTAATTGAGCTTGTGGATTTACCCAGAGTGTGGACATGGCTTTGTAACTGGGAAGTACACATTCTTCAGAATATCCAAATACTGTGAATAAATGAACAAATTGTGTGAATTCAGTAATTGTAACTTTGAACAAAAAAGGAAATAATGTGTATAAACTTCTGCTGTGCTTGGTGCTGTATGGTGAGCCTCTGAGTGATTTCACAAACCAGTTGGTAGGTGGCTAATGTTAGCAGACAATCCCGTTAGAGACCAAAATAGGGCCTTTATGAAATTCTTTTAAGATTCACAACTCTTTTCATGTATATATCACTGGGCCATCTAACTACCAATAGGGCCCATGTGTGCTCCCCGGGCTGCTGACAGGAAGCGGAGACTCAGAGATGCGAGGTGACTGACAGCTGGGAGCAGAAGAGGCGGGCGTGGGGTGACGCGCACGCGCAGGTCAGCTGTGGTGGGGCTCGGAAAACTCCCCGGAATGCAGCTCACATTTTATGATTTCTCCGTAAAGGAGACCTATCTTTATTTACTCCAGTTTTGATTATTTCTATTCAAAATTATGATACTCCACTCGGAAGCAACACCTACCTCTCAATCCCTTGTTTAGAAACTCCTTATAATGAATGAGAATAAAAGTAGAAGTTGTAAGATAGCGTTAACTAGGAAAACAAATTGATGTATTTTAATGGGTTTGTTGTGATGATTAAAAAAAATTTTTTTTTCTTTATTGATTTGAGAGAGAGAGAGAGAGAGAGAGAGAGAGAAACATCAATAAAAGAGAACATCTACTGGCCGCCTCCCGCATGCCCCCCACTGGGGATCTGGGTATGTGGCCTGACCGGGAATTGAACCAGCAACCTCTTGGTGCATGGGTGATGCTCAACCACTGAGCCAGGCCGGCGGGGTTGTTCTGATGATTTTGAACTGAAGCTGAGGATACCCGTGACGGAGGAGCTCCAGGAAACCCTGCTGAGAAATCAGGTGAGGCCGCAAGGATGAAGCCCAGGACTGCGATAAATAGAGTTGTGAGTACAGCATTTACCTTTTTATGTTCAGCGTGATACTTTCAATTTCATTTCAATTTGTTTTCCATTTTGGGAGCCATTCAATAAAGTGATACAAGAAGCCTCATTTTCAGCATTTGCTCATTAAGTTCTCATAGAAATAAAGTCATAACACTGAAATATAAAGTACACGCACATTGAAAGTTTGTTGGTTTTTTCCTCCAATTATTTTCATTGTTGACCGTATTACAGATGTCCCCCATCTTTCTTGCCTTTGCCCCCTTGCACCCAGCCCCCACCCCACTCCAGGCTAAATGAAAGCAGGAGCCAGGTGCGCATGGGGATATTCCAGTTCTGTGAACAATTCCCTGAGACCATTTTTGTTTTAAATCCTCACCTGAGGACATTTTTCCATTTTTTGTTCAGATAGAGTGGAAGGGAGAGAGAGGAAGAGAGAGAGAGAGAAACATCGATGTGAAAGGGACACATCGAGTGGCTGCCACCCGCACGACCAACCAGGGCCGGGGACAAACTGCAACCGAGGTACATGCCCTTAGCGGGAACCGAACCCGGGTCTCTGCTGAACCAAACCGGCCAGGGCCATCTTAACCATTTTTAAGTCTGCAGTTCACTGGCATGAGGTCCTCACACGCTGTACACCAGCCCCACCCCTCCTCCAGGACTCTCCGTCTTGCAAAGCTGAACACGAACTCCCATCCCCCTCCTCCCATCCCCTGGCAGCCACCCTTCTGCTTCCATCTCTGTGAATAGGACGACACCAGGGACGCCACGTGAGTGGGGTCATCTATATTTGTCCTTTGGTGATGGGTTCCCTTTCCTTAGCCTAGTGTCTCTCCTCAGGGTCCATGCATTTAGTGGGAGCAGGTAGTTTTAAGTTGGGGAGGGTGGAGTGGCTGGCAGTTGCCTCCTAATGCCCCATTGGCCCCGCCCTTGGAGGCTGAGGTTTTCCCCCGAGGGAGGCAGATGTCACCGGGCAGATCACCACTGTGCTCTGGGAACAAGGAACAGACCTCCAGCTGCACCTGGGAGGTGAGGTCCTCATCCGGGCCCACAGACAGCCCTGCGGCCTTTACTGAGCAACAAGGTCCACTGGTTCAAATATTTGCCAGGTGTTTGTATAATTGTAAACAAAAGTTGATTACTAGACTCACAGGAGTCATTCAAGTATCTCAGCCCAGGGCCTTCTCCACGGCAGGAACAGCTGGTGAAATGGACCCGAGAGTCTCCTCCTGGCCCCTGCTGTTCCCTCCAAGCCTCCTGGGCAGTGTCTGCTCCCCTTCTTGGCTCCCAGGCCCAGCACTGGGGCAGGTTCTGTCCTCAGCTCAGTGCTCCTGCTGCCCCCGTGAAGGCTTGGCTGACCCTGACCATCACCTCCACTCCCACCCAGGAAGCCCCAACTCTCTAGAAGTCCCCAGGATCCTGAGAAGTTCTGGCCTCAAACCATGACAGGCTCGCACAGACCTATGGGCTGCCCCAGCCCTTCACATGGGTGATGTGAGGCCAGGGCAGGAGGGGACGTTTGCAAGGCCTTCCTAAGTGTCACTCACTCATCCTTCATCGTGGGTATGGAGGGCTTCCTACCTGCGGTCAGGGCTAGTCCCCACCCTCAGGCGCTTACAGACGCTGGGAGAATCTTCAGACTGATTTACAACGTGTACACACCGCCCTTGTGATGTGCCAGGTGTCCCCACCATTTTTCAAACATTAACACTTTTTTTTAATCCTCACCCGAGGACACTTATTTTATTTATTTATTTTTAATTTATCTCCAGATAGAGTGGAAGGGAGAAAAGGGGGAAGAAAGAGAGAGAAACAGATGTGAGAGAGACACATCAAGTGGTTGCCACCCACATGACCCCAACTCGGGCCAGGGACAAACTGCAACCGAGGTGCGTGTCCTTAGCTGGAACCGAACCCAGGACTCTCTGGTCCAAAGGCCGATGCTCTAACCATGGAGCAAAACTGGCCAGGGCTCAAACATTAATTCTTTAACCCTCTCCATACCCTCAGGGAGGGTATTTTTTTATTATTGCTGAGTGTCAGATGGGGAAACTGAGGCACAAACAACACTGCTCTCTAACCTTGCACCTGTAAGTACAGACATGAACACCATAGAACTTCTGTGCGCAAGCATCTGGGCAGGTTTGGCTGGTGCCTCTGCCTCAAGGTCTCCATGAAGCAGGAGATGTGTTTCAGCTGAGGCTCGACGGACAGGCTTCCCCTCGAGGTCACTCGCCTGGTTTCCGTCAGGACGCAGTTGGGCCCGAGAGCCCGCGTTCCTGCCTGTTGGCTGGGCTCCCCCTCGGCTCTCTCCTATGGGGCATCTGCATAGGGCGGCGCAGAGCATGGGCGCAGCTCTGCCCGGTCCAGAGATATGACAGAGACAGAGTCAGACACACGCACAGAAAGTGAAATAGAGGCTGAGAAAGGAGGGGACTCAAGAATGAGAGGACGAGAGAAGTGACAGCCCTGACATCCCTCACCTGGGCTGATTCTCAGCTGTTCAGAAGCAGTTACTAGGCTCTCGGCGGACACACAAGGGTGTTCCCACCAGGAGGCGGATCACTAGAGCCTCTGTGAAGGCTCCACCACACGGCCAACATGAGGCACTTTGGTCTGATTCCTAGTTTAAAGAGAGACCACTGGAAGGTTTTAGGCCAGTGAATGACAATATCTGAATTTCCTATATTTTTAATTCTCTTAAAGGTGCAGACCTAAAATGAGGCCAAGGTGGGCAATGACTTCCCCAAGATCCCACGCTGGCCCCCAGGCCTGTTTAGATTGGGATTTCGTGCTACGTCCACTCATTCTTGTCACCCTTCCACCTCTACGTTTGTGCATCAGATTCATGGGACACCTGCCCACAGGTGTTAGAGGCTTCTCTCCTCCACACCTGATGACGTCCTTAGGAAATGGTGTCTAGCTTCACCTCACTGTGCAGGTGGGGAGACAGGGGAAGCTTCTAGAGAAACAAAGGCTTCCCCAGGGCACAGAACTGATAAGAAAAGGGAGGTGTGAACTCAGAATTCTCCAAGCCGGGGACCTGGGACAGTCCCAGGAGCTGTGGGGAGGCTGTGGTAGGTTATGGTGTATAGGTGTGGAGATGACCTGGGGGAGAAGGCCGAGTGGCCAACAGCCCAGAGGGGGCTTTAAGTGGCTCTGATTGGAGGAAGGGGCCCGGGTCATGGAACCTTGAAGGAGTGACCTCACTTCCTTGGTGACAGATCCCCAACTGAAATTAGAAGTGGTAACCAGGCACCCTCATTCTAGAGACAACCTCCCATCCAGTTCAGTTGACTGGAGACAGTCAGGAGACTAGGATGTTTCTCTGTTGCTTCCCGAGCTCCCGAGGCTCTGGGCTAAAGAAAACCCGGAGTGAGGGATGTTTCTCTTGCTGTAGAAATTGGCGCAGGCGCCACCGCCAACAGCCCTCGTCCTCTGGCACGAGGCAGCCTCAGGTAACTGAGGGCAGCCCAGGACAGGCCCATCCAGGCCAGGTCCCTACTGGGGTCCCACCCACGCCGCCCCTCACCTCTTACCCCTCGTTCTCGGTATGTATGGTTGTTGGGGGGTGATGCGGGAGACCGTGGGATGAGGGGCGCTCGTCCTGGGCAGGAGCAGGTTGTTAGGTGTCGGAAGCCTGGTGGGTCTGTCATGTTCATTGCCCAGGTCACGGCTGGCAGGAAGGGAAGGCGAGTGCTGGGGCCAAGTCCATCTGCCCACTTGTTAATTGGGGTCAAGGTGTCATCTCCTTCCCTCCCTGCTTGGAGGTCTTTACAGAAGCCCTCTGTGCCTTATCCATGGCGTGGAAATTGGAGTGGGCACCTCTCCCCATGGGAATGGCCATGAAGGCCCCTGACCCTCCCGGCCTGTCTTTGCAGAGGCCCGCCCCAGAGTCCGTGCAGGAGCTGGCTGACGGGTTCACTTACGCCTTCAACCGGTACCAGACAGGAGGGCACCAGGCCAGGAAGCCCGTCCAGAGCCGGTCTGAGGTAGGGTTGGCCCACACCCAGGACCCTAAGGGCCTTAAAGGTTTCACAGGCCCACTCCCAAAGAAGTCTGTGCCTCCAATCCTCCTGACCAGGTTCCTGGTGGGGTAGAAATGCAGTCTTTACATATTTGTTGGAATTAAAGAGAAAAAAATGTTGTTGTCTTTGCATTTTGCTGGTTTTCATTGTTTAACTAGCTGCCTCGAGTATTCTGTGGGGCAGTCGGCTGGACTGTCCTTGCAGACAGTGTCCAAGCCTTACACACCCTCACACTTGATAGAGTGTTTCATAGCAAAGGGAAATGGGGAGGGATTAGGGATCGGATACATGTCTCTGCAACTTGCCATCTCACAGAGCAAGTAGGAGGCGGGCCAGGTCTGGAGCTGTGGCCCAGTTTATGTCCATATCAGCCCAGGAAGAATGTCGTTTTCCTCAGTGACTCAGCCTTTCAGTGCTGCTGACCTTGACATGATTTGGTTCTGCTGCTAGTTCAGCGTGGCTGCTGGGATCAGCCTCACTGTGTCCTCACAGACTGTGTCAGTTTGCTAGGTCTGCCACTTCCCAGGACCAGAGGTGGGGGGAAGCTTCCCGATCCTCCTGCCTCAGTACCCGGCTTGGTCTTTGCAGAGCTCCAGCGAGGACATCCTTGAGGTGCTGGCCCGCGGGCCCGACTACACCACCTACCGGGTCAGGGTGCAGGTGCACCGGGCCAACGACGCCGGCCAGTGCCAGTCTGAGGTGAGAGCTGGCCCAGGGCAGTCTCCACACCCAAACCCCCAAGATGCCAGAGAGGGTCAAGAACGCAGACTCAAATCTGGGGACTCCCTGGGGGACCTCCAGGGCTTCCCTCCGGAGTGTCCACAGTCCCGTGCACCAAGGAACCTGGACCTCCACACCCTCCCTCAGCTACAGGAGGGTAGAAAGCCACTCCTTACGTACTGTTATAGAGGGCTTTAGCCCCATAAAAATTAACTAGAGTTTGACCTTCACTAGGAATTTGAAAAGCAACATCCTTCAAGAAAAGGGAGGACAGAAACGGCCCCAAGGCCAGAGTGTCCTGCATGCTCTGTAAAGAAACTGATAGGGAGAAACTGAAGCTCCCTTTACCCCATAAAACTGTAACTGTTCAACATGTGTGTATTGCATGTTGTACTGACTGACCGCTGATATCTGTCTCGAATTTGTTAGTTTTTAAAATTTGGATGATGGAATGAATAGCAGGACAGATGTATGCTGACCCAGTTCACCCAGTTCCCTTTCGCCTCAGCTCCCTCCCGCCTCCGTTCCCTCCTGCTTATCGCTAACTGCCTCCGCTTCTGTACAGGCAGCTTGCTTGCTCTGCTAAACTCTTGAGTGACCCCTGCCCTATATAAGCAACCCTCCCCCTGAGCTCGGGGCTGCAGTTCTCCTCTGTGTAGGTTGGCTGCAGTCCCTGCGCAGGTAATAAAACATCCCCAAAAACTGAAAAATGGAGTCTGAGTGTGGTCGATCTCCTGGGTTACAACATTTGGAGGCCCCAGCGAGATCAGCCGCGAGGTCCCCCTTTTCCGTGGGGTCAACCTCCTCAGACTACGCGGAGGGCTGCCTCCTCGCCCTCCGCACCTACATACGTTCTGGCTTTGATTCGGCTAATTCGGACTAAGACTTCAGCCTCGAGGATCTGGGTAAGGGATTTCCCCTTCCATCTGTTTTCTGTTCAGTAGCTCCGGAGCGTTCTGGGATTGTTGCGGGCAGGACACCGCTCAACCGCACTTCCCCCTCAGGGTCGGGACGCCGACTCCTGACCTGGAAACCGGTGGGTTTCCATCTGTTCTGAAATTGGTACCAATCTGTTTTAATCTGGCACTTTCGGGTGCATCTGGCACTTTCGGGTGCGTCTGGCACTTTCGGGTGCAGGAAACCCGGTGGGTTTCCATCTGGCACTTTCGGGTGCGTCTGGCACTTTCGGGTGCGTCTGGCACTTTCGGGTGCAGGAAACCCGGTGGGTTTCCATCTGGCACTTTCGGGTGCATCTGGCACTTTCGGGTGCAGGAAACCCGGTGGGTTTCCATCTGGCACTTTCGGGTGCATCTGGCACTTTCGGGTGCAGGAAACCCGGTGGGTTTCCATCTGGCACTTTCGGGTGCATCTGGCACTTTCGGGTGCAGGAAACCCGGTGGGTTTCCATCTGGCACTTTCGGGTGCATCTGGCACTTTCGGGTGCAGGAAACCCGGTGGGTTTCCATCTGGCACTTTCGGGTGCGTCTGGCACTTTCGGTGCGTCTGTTCTGAAATTAGTATTTTGTGTTTTGACTGCGGTTGTCTGTCTATTTGTGTTCCGTGTTCTCTGCTGCTCTAACTGTTTTGCTTTCCCTAGGATGAGACAAGGACCATCAACGCCCCGTACCCCCCTTGAATGCATTCTTGCTAACTTTTCTGACTTTTCCAGGAGATCCCAAGGCTACAGAACACCAGCCGATCCTGGGGTCCTCCGGACCCTCTGTGAGTTGGAGTGGCCAACATTCCGAGTTAATTAGCCATCCGAAGGGTCTTTTGACTTGAGACTTTTGTTTGCTGTGAGGTCCGTTATGTACGGGGTTCCCCACCCTGATCAAAGGTATACATTAATATTTGGATTAGAAATGTCAGTGCCCGGAGGTTCAAATGAAAGGAAAAAAGTTTTGTTAACAATGCCTCTGCCTGTCCTGAAGGACAGTTAACTCCTCCCAGCCCCCGAGGAAATTCTATCCCATCCTTCAGGACCCCCTTGAGGTATACAAAAATGTCAATTAAACTGAGTTTGCCTACTTTGGGTTCTTATTACAGAAAAGCTAGAAGATGAATTTAGATCTGTTAATGATCTATTGATTAAAAAATGTCTATTGAAAATATGAATATATTTGCTAATCAGAGGAATGTTAATTATTTGTACTTGTCAAAAAAAGAAAAAATATTCAATGTTTCTAAAAGTTAAAAGTTCAGATTAGGTTAAAAAGAAATTATATAATTTTAATAAAAGAAAATATAAGATATAGAAATGTATATATTTTTAAAATTGTTCTAAAACTGGTTATTTCTGACTAGATAAAAAGGTTTATAAAAGTTAAAAAATTTGTTAAGAGAAATCTTAGAGAGAAATTATAAATAAAATAAATTAATATAGAATTTATTTGGTTCTTTTTCAGCCTATTAAAAGGGGAAAACATTTTTTTTCCCAATATTTGCCTGGAAAGCAAAAGTTATATATATGTTATTGAAATAATTTTATGTTATGTTAATCAAGTACTTGATTCCTTAAAGAGCCATTTTTAAATCATAAGAACTGAAGTTTCACTGACCTATGTTTATGTTTAACATTTGTCATTGTCACTTTAAATAAATAATTGAATACTATTTAATTATATATATAATACTATATAATCTTTTGGTCAAATATGTTTGACAACCTTTCCAGGATTCGAATTTTAAGAAACTTTTTCTTGACCTGGAATTAGTTTTGAGTCATTCCAATAAGACCTGGAATTCCTCAAAAATTTATGTTCTCTCCTTATAAAAGGAATCAAATCAGTGCAGATGGCTTAACACAGTCTGTTTCCTCACTGAAATATAGATAAGAGGACAACACACTCCAAATGCAAGAGCATACACACTACTAAGAGTGATTATTTGTTCACTTAGCAGATGCACAGATGCCTCTTATACGGGGGTCTCTATTAATGCTGTGGGTTATGCAAACAGTCCTCACTTTAAAGGGGCTTATAATATATTTTGTAAAGTCATGCTTGAATTATTTAAAGAAAGAACATAATTGAGCCCCAGAGGCCTAAAGATCAGGCTCTTTTTAGTTTAACTAAAAAAGTTTTTTCTTTCATGGTACGATAATGTACTCACATATAAATAAATAAATAAATCTGAGCTATAGTTACTATAGCATGAATAAAATAATATCTCTAATGTACTTGGGTCTCCACCTGAGAAGGGCTTTATGAAAAGAAAATTATAAAAATAATAAAGATTTAAGATTTATGAATGATGGAAAATAAAAATTGACAGAAAGGAATAAAAAAAGATGATGATTCTTTGCCGCTTTCCCCTGCCTTGTCGGCAGGGCAGGCTTCTCTCAGAGCCTCAGTTGCTGTGTCCCCTGTGTATAGGGGGACCCAATATCTGAATAGATATAGATGTGTTCAGATATACTAGCTTCTTTATGATGAGGTCTCAATGCCTCTCTGCAAGGCTTAATAATATTCTCACAGGCAAACTGTTTAACCATTGAAATGCCAGCCCGGGCTGCTCGTCCACAGCGGGTTTGACAGCAACTAGTTTCCAACAGGCTTCTCTGAACTTTAGGGATCCCAGGCATGGATACGAAATTCTCTTAGAGAGTTAAAAAACAACAACACTCTGCCCCGTGTAAACAATGTTAAGACATTGCTCCCCTTTCCTGTGTCCTTTTGTAAACCTGGGGTCAGAGGAAATGTTCCCATTCCTCTGCCCACGGTAGGACCCAAATACTGTCGGGGGAAGGGCTTCCTTAGAACACTTTTCACCGTGTTCCCCTGTAAGGCCTATTGGCCCAATTGGCTGAATTAGCAAAGGTAGTAATAGCAGCCATAAGAGAAACAGGGCACATAGAATAGGGTCATCCTAGGAAGGGAAATATAAGGAAGGGTTAGGACCACAGGCCTAGGTCCCAGTTAGGAATAGAAAAGACAAAGACAAAGTCAGGTATAGAAAAACAAAATAAAATGCTGTACTTAATTTAGGAAAATGACAGGGCTAGGGCTCCTTCCAACTGAGCCCTCTGAAACCCAGAATAATACTAAATAATAGGGGATAAACTAGTTAGTTTCCTAATAGACACTGGTGCAGCAGACTCAGTCTTGACCGAGCCAATGGGGCCCTAACCTACCCCTGGACTTCAAAGAGGAATATAGACCTTGGGGAAAATACTGTAACTCATTTGTTTCTGTTCCTGCCGGAGTGCCCATACCCCCTACTCGGACGTGATCTCCTCCAGAGATCATTTAATTGCTGGCCACTGCTACTCCAAGCCAGACCCCGCATCAAGTTCCACAAGACGTTGGCCATCAATCCTGCCAGTCTGCCTCCAGATGATGACCCGGAATAACCTCTGCAGGACGGCCTGGAGGCAATCGACACTGCAGACAGCCGCCCAGACCTCAGGGATGACCCACTGCCATCATCAGATGAGGTATTGCTCACAGACGGGAGCAGCTATGTCCAGGAAGATATCAGGTATGCCGGGGCAACAGTAGTAACTCTGGACCATGTCATTAAGTAGGGGAACTTCAGCCTGATGGGCTGAACTCATAGCCCTAATCCAGGCTCTCTGATGAGACAAGGGGAAACCATGCTGCAAATAAGGAAGATCAACATGTGGCCCTAAAACTAGTGAGGACCTCTCCAGATATCAGTTACCACACCAAACCCAAGTTCACCTCTGACTCCTACTTACACTGGGTCAGAAAATGACTTAACTGAGCAGAAACAAGTCATAAAGAAAATCAACGAATAATAGACACTGCCTGCTGGGAGATTGTTGGTCCCAGAGGCTCTAGGTGGGACTTTAGTCAACCAGCTGCACCAGCCTACCCTCTTAGGTTACACCAAGCTTACTAAACTCCAATAAGGTCACAGGGAAAAGGAAAAGATAGAAGGAAGCAGGAATATATAGGTCTAAATAGGGAGGAAAAGAAAAAGGCTAGGGGATATGCAGACAGCAGATAGATTGAGCAACCTCTCAGGTTCATGTCAGGGGAGGGACTAGAAAAGTCACAGAGAGTCTATGTAAGTTGAAGAAGGATTATGCAGAAAAAATAAAAAGATAGGAAGAAGAAAGATAGGGGCATACATATTACAGGAAGACAGGACAATAGAGGATTACTCAGGAAGGGAAGAAGATAAGACACTGAGAGGGGAGAACTTGCCCCTACTAATATTATAATAGTCTAGGATGCAATAAAGGGAGTAACAGGTTTAGGCTACTCCTGACCCTTAGATCAGACAATGACCCCGCCTTGATAGCGAAGATATCACAGGATATCTCTAAGGGATTAAATATAAATTAGAAGCTCCATTGTGCTTACTGCCCACAGAGTTCCAGGCAGGTAGAGCGCATGAACAGGACCTTAAAGGAAACCTTAACCAAATTTACTTTAGAAACCGGTGAAAACTGGACCACTCTGCTCCCCTCGCCCTCTTACAATTCTTACAGGCCCTGCAGTCTGCCCAGAAGGCCATCCATAAACACATCTGCGATGCCCTGCCTGTGCCCACCTCAGACTCTCTGCACCCTTTCCAGCCAGGGACTCGATGCAAATAAAGAAATTCACCATCCAAGGACTAACTCTGGCCTGGAAGGGACCATACACTGTCATCCTGCCTTCACCAACGGCTATCAAGGTCAACGGCATCCCGGTCTAGCTGCATCATTCCTGGTTGAAGGCAGAAAAAGCAGAATGAACGGTGCAGACCTCTCCAGATCCCTTAAAATGAGACTCTTACGTTTATCGGGACTCTAATTTTTCTGATTATAACTATACAGGGGAATCTTTATAGATCTAGACCCCAGTAGAACTGGGTACTTAGAAATAAAACATTTTTTAAAATCTTAAGAAATGTCAACCAGAAGAGGGTCTATATGCAGCCTTAGGTGAAACCTGCTATTTCTATGCCAACCATTCAGGTATAATCAGACAGAGCATCCAAATTCTAAGACAAAGAAACTAAGAGAAGGAGAACAGGTCTCCCATAATTATTATGAAAACTTATTGAATTAGTCACCATAGCAAACATCCCTGATTTCAGCTATAGCAGGGCCCCTACTGTTATTATTAATTGGAATAACTTGTAAACCCATCCTAAATTTAATAGACTCCTAGCCTTCATCAGAGAGAGAGTCTAATCAGTAAAACTTAGAGTCTTAGCACAATCCTACTAGAGATTGTCTCCCCATGACAATTGTGAATCAATGGTTTGATCCACTCTCAAGAAAACGGGGGAATGTTGTAGCTCACTGTCCTTAGAATCCAACTTGTCTTTAAGCTGCCCTAATTAACAACCTCAGAGACAGCAAGACGAACAATGGGGAATGTTATAGAGGGCTTTAGCCCCATAAAAATTAACTAGAGTTTGACCTTCACTGGGAATTTGAAAAGCAACATCCTTCAAGAAAAGGGAGGACAGAAACGGCCCCAAGGCCAGAGTGTCCTGCATGCTCTGTAAAGAAACTGATAGGGAGAAACTGAAGCTCCCTTTACCCCATAAAACTGTAACTGTTAAACATGTGTGCATTGCACCTGACTGACCGCTGATATCTGTCTCGAATTTGTTAGTTTTTAAAATTTGGATAATGGAATGAATAGCAGGACAGATGTGTGCTGACCCAGTTCCCTTTCGCCTCAGCTCCCTCCCCCCTCCGTTCCCTCCTGCTTATCGCTAACTGCCTCCGCTTCTGTACACGCAGCTTGCTTGCTCTGCTAAACTCTTGAGTGACCCCTGCCCTATATAAGCAACCCTCCCCCTGAGCTCGGGGCTGCAGTTCTCCTCTGTGTAGGTTGGCTGCAGTCCCTGCGCAGGTAATAAAACATCCCCAAAAACTGAAAAATGGAGTCTGAGTGTGGTCGATCTCCTGGGTTACAGGAATACTTGCAGGAATAATAGAGAAAATAGTTGTTTCCTTCCCAGCAGACCAGGAGCACATTTGCATGTTGCTGTTTCGTTGTTGCACTGCAGGCCCAGGGGTCCTGTGGAGGCAGCTCCACTGTCCTTGCAGACCTCCTCCAACACGGAGGGCGTCTGCCACAGCGATGCCCCTCTCAGTGCCGCCGGACCTTGGCCGTGGTGCAGTCCAGGTGCCATGTCAGCAGGGCGGCCGGGGACACCGAGTGTGTCCGAAGGGAGTGTGTGTTTGCTCAGGCTGCCGTGACGTGGGCCCGCACTGGCTGTGTGAACAGCAGACATTCATTTTCTCACAATTCTGGAGGCTAGAACTTGGAGATGGGGTGTCGGCAGGGCTGGTTCCTCCTGAGGGCTCTCTCCTGGGCTCGTAGCTGGCCATCTTCTATCTGTGTCACATGGACTGCCCTCTGCACTTCCATGTGTCCACCCCTCCTCTTCGAAGGACACCGGTTATATCGGATTAACACCCACACCACTGAATTCCATGACCTTAGTTACTTGCTTAAAGACTAAAACTCAGCCCTGGCCAGTTTGGCTCAGCGGTTAGAGTGTCGGCCTGCGGTCCGGAGAGACCCGGGTTCGGTTCCCGCTAAGGGCATGTACCTCGGTTGCAGTTTGTCCCCGGCCCTGGTTGGTCGTGCGGGTGGTAGCCACTTGATGTGTCCCTTTCACATCGATGTTTCCCTCTTTCTCTCTCCCTCCCACTCTGTCTGTACAAAAAATGGGGAAAAAAAAGACTAAAACTCAAATTCAATCACACTCTGAAGTTCCAGCGTTCCAAAGTCATGGAATTAGGGTGACACAATCCACACAACAGTATACACCGTCCCCCGGAGATGGACACCAGTGCTGGTGGGAGACATGCACATGTCCAGTCCTCACAGCTGCAGGCGGATCCACATCCAGAGGCTGTGGCAGTGAGGTCGCCAACGGCACTTTCTGGTGGTGGCTGCTGCCTTGCTCCTGCCAGGCCCGGGGATTTCTCACTCATTGAAATGTTTACCAATCTGACGTCAAGCTGCCCAAGGCGATCAGAGTTCCTTGATTGGCGATTGCCTCTGGGGCACCTGGACTCACCCGTCACCTTTTCACCAGCCACGCGGATTTGCTCCTCCTTGTGTCATCTGCTCAGATCCCTGCCTGGTGGTCGGCTCTCTCCAGCCTGGAGTCTCCAGGCATTGGCATGGAATCTAGGATCTCTAGAATGAGAGTCTCAAAATGCCCTTTAATATAAAAGGAGGAGAAATAAGTGTGTTTTTGAAATCAGTGGTTTTCCTAGGTGTGTGTATTTTGTACATTCTCTCTAAACTGGCGATTGACAAGGGTCCCAGACCCTCTCCCTCCATGTCGGGACAGATGAGTCTCAGGTAGCTCAGAGGGAACATCATCAGGACAGTTCTCAGTTCTGACCTGTATGACCTTGACCAGCCATCTGACATCCTAAACCTCTGGGTTCACATCTCCATAGTGGTGATGTTTGCTGACGCCTCACTGGACAATGTCCTTCATACAGACTATTAATACAGGAGGTGTTTTGTTCCTCAGCTAAAAACATACCTAGGTCATAATTGTATAAAAATCCCTGACTCACCAAACTTAAATGGTCCTTTTAAAACCTAGAACCTCATTGCTCATGGACACCCGTCCCTCCTCTTGCACATGTCCTGAGGGTTGGCGGTTTCAGGGTGAGCTCCAGACTCCATCCTCCTGGGTTCATGGTGATGTCGCTGACTGGATGTCCCTTTTTGTCCCACCCAGTGTGCAGCCGAATTAACTCTTAACCTCCTTGAGGCCTGCAGGATACGTGCCCTCCAGGAAGGCACACTGGAGAAGAAGGTGGTGTCCATGGTACCAGCTTTCCCGAGTGGAAAAATTTCCCACATCACCACCTTCATGTCCATCCACCCGGCCTTCTCCAGAACCCAGCAGATCCTGGACCAGCTGTTTGCTAGGTGAGCACATGCCCCCTAGTGGTGATTCTGTCCACTGCTAGCCCTGTGTTCTGAAAATGTCACCACATCTCTGTGAGCCTCGATTTGTCCCCTGAAAAGTGGGCGATAGAGGATAAACCTCATGGGGTTCTTGCAGGGACTACTGTGGGGACAAGCCATGGCAGGTCTGACCTGCTGCCTGGCTCTGCAGAAAGGGCTGCTGGGCGTGTGTGGCCATTCTCAGCAATGACTTCTCTCTCCCCATGACATGTGCCCTGACTCACCCATCGGCGGCCTGTGGCATCTGAGTTTGGAAAGGCACATTGGAAAATGATGTCAAGCACTTTGAGATTCCACCTGGCTGGTCCTTGTCCTGGTCCTTGGTGTGGCCAGATTAGGGATGTCTGGGGCAACAGGGGCCCCAGGCCCACTCAAACGATTGGATGATTCTGGTTGGAGTTCACTGACTGGACAATGTGCATTGAGCTCCTATTGCCAGCAGGCACTTTGGAGACACTTAGCCTGACTCAGGGAACAAAGCAGACAGAGTACCTGGGCCTCAGATCTAGTCAGTGAGTCAGACTGTCACACTAGACGTCATTTGCAGGTGCTGCCCACCTTCCATCAGATATGATGCCATCCAGGTGTTCTCTACATCTGGAAATATGCAGTCATATAACAACCAGGGTGACACACTCCAGGACCAATTGAAAAGGTGAGTGGTCTTTGGAGGGCTCCTATGTCAACAGGATGAGGGGCTGTGGATGGACAGGGGCTGGCAGAACCCTGATCTTACACATCTGCTGATTCCCAAGGGAGGGCTGAGGTCTGGTGGCTTCCACTCCAGGAGGACAGGGTCAGAGAGCACTGTGGATGGGCTCCCTGGCCTCTATAACCAGAGGGGAGGCTGGGCTGAGCTGTCCCCAGAAGTCTCATCCCCACCACAGACCATCCTGCTCTGCCTGCTTTCTCTGCACCCACTCCCCTGACCACCATCGCCAGGCCCAGAACAGGACGTGGGGAGCAGGCTGCTCACAGCCCTGTCTCAGTCCTCAGTCCAGGTGCCCAGGGCACAGAGGGCTGGGTGGGCAGTGCACAGGCCTCCAGGACAGCTCTCGGGGGAAGAGGAGACTCACACAGACTCCATGTTAGCCTGCTGGGTCACCAGGCCTGCGACTCCCAGGACAGCCCCAGGGGCAGGGGATGGCATGGGGCTGACCCCTGGATGGGCTGGGCAGGCATACGGGCCCCGTCTGAAGCAGGGTGCCATGGGAGGGCCGTGCGGGAGGAAAGACCAGGACTCTGACCCCGCTGCCCTCCTGCCTCCCCCAGGGCCGTAGCTTCTGTGACGGGAGCCTGGCCTGGCCAGATACAATATGTCGGCCAGCCCCTGCTTCTCCCCTGGTTCACCCTGAAGCAGGCCCTCGTGCAGGGCCACCTTCCTGCCTCACACCCGCTGGGCCACGTGCTCAGCCTCTGGGTGGAGCTGGAGCATCTGGAGCCCACGGAGGCAGAGCTGGAAGGTGAGGGGCCTGCAGTCTGGGAAGACGGGCGGGGTGGGTGGGCTCAGGGGCCGCAGTTCCCCTGGGGGCAGTGGCATCTTTCCGTCTCTGGGAGGGCACAGGAAAGCCAGGCCTGTGTGTGAACTGTCTCTTCAGCTGCTCCAGAGGCTCCCCCAAAGCCAGCTCGATGCCCAGCAGCGGACCACCCCCCGGCTGGGACCACTAAGCACCTGATAAAGGAGGAGAAGCATAACATCCTGACCTTCCCTCCAATACTGGTGGCAGAGCAGCTGACAGTGATGGACGCAGTGAGCAGTGGGGCTCTGGGGAGAGTCGGGGGAGGTGGGACAGGCCTTCCCTCTGCCCTCAGCTGCCCCGAACTGCCTGTTCTGATCCAAACTCTAGTGATCTGGATCCAAATTGCAGCTCCCCCACTGACCATTCATGGGTCCTGAGCAACCTTCTCAACCCACAAGCCTCACTGCCCACCTGTGGACAGTGGGGGTGGACACGCACAGCACCAGCTGCTCAGAGTGGCTGCAGATTCCAGGAGGCAGATCAGACAGGAAGCTGGGCGGGTCCTGGCCCGGTAGGTGGGAGGGGTGCTCACTGCGTGCAGCCAGGGCCCTGGGGATCCCACCCATGTGCCCATGAGGCTCAGCGGCCTCCACACTGATTAGGCACCTGATGTGCACTTACCTACAAGAAAGACAGAAAAACAGCCCAGGGCTGAGGCTGCCACAGGGCATGTGCCCTGAATGGGGATTTGGACCAGAGGGGTAATCAGGATGCTGGAAGATGCCCTCTTGGGGTAGGTGGACTTGAGCTGCATCCTGGAATTTGCAGTCAGTGAGGATGGGCTGGAGGCAGATGCTCCTGTCCCTTCCCCACCTGTCCTGGGCTCTGGGTCATCCAGTGCTGGGTCCCTTGGTGGACAGAGAATGAATCCCAGGGACTCCAAGGCTCAGACCACATCCTCAGCTTCCTGAGCTTCAGTCTTTCCCAGTGACCCCTGCAGGGGGTTGGGGACACTGAGCTGGGTGTGGTAGGGCTGGGTGACCCTCCCCTTTCTCCCTAGGAGCTATTCAAGAGGGTGCTGCCCCACCAGTGCCTGGGCTCCGTCTGGTCCCAGAAGGACAAGCCTGGCAAGGAACACCTGGCCTCCACTGTCCGTGCCACCGTCACACAGTTCAATCATGTGGCCACCTGTGTGATCACCACCTGCCTTGGGGACCCTAGCATGAGGGCCCGGGACAGGGCCAAAGTGGTGGAGCACTGGATCAAGGTGGCCAAGGTATGTTATGGGAGGCCCAGCGCAGTCCCTATGCGGAGCCTTGAGAAATGCCTCTGCTGCTCTGTCAGCTCTCGGGACTGAGGCCTGAGGCTGGAGCCCAGCACAGTTCCCAGGTCCTCTCTGCCAGGGGCCCGCTGACCTTGACTCTCAGGTCCCGGTGGTGGGAGGCTCACGTCCTCCCTGGCTCCTTCCTTGGGTTGAGCTAAGATCCTCCTCTCTGTGAGGGCTGGTCTTTGGGTGCTCACCATGCCCACCCTGAGCACCTGTCCCACCCAGGAGGGGTGTCAATGGAGGGGACTGAGCTAGAGCTCCAGCTGCCACCTCACAGCCGTCGCTCCCCTCCCAGGAGTGCAGAGCCCTAAGGAGCTTTTCCGCCCTGCACGCCATCCTGTCCGCTCTGCAGAGCGTGTCCGTCCACCGTCTGAAGAAGACGTGGGGGAAAGTTTCCAGGTGGGTAGGCCTCTCCCCAGAAGAGGATGGGTGGGGTGTCTCTCATATGACCTCTAATGTCCCCTCAGGAGCTGGCACCCCTGGGAGGCAGCCACCCTGGGGACAGGGACTGGGCTGCTGGGCGGGGTCTCTAAGCCTCCCTGGGACCTCAGGCCGCCAGTTCTGCTTCAGGAATCAGTTTCCCTAAGTGCCAGAGACTGGATTGAGCCCCATTGGAGATTTTCACTAGAACCCCAGGCCCAGTTAAAAATTAAACTGGTCACAACAGAGCTGCCCCATAGAAATGGGAATGGGGCCCAGGTGACCCACATGATAGCCCCGCCCCAGAGCCATGGAGACCTCACTGCTGGGAAGAACCCAGAGAAACCCTCACCCCAGCGCTTTGAAACACTGGACTGTCCAAAGGAATTTGTGTTTAACAACCCCCCTCCCCCCGCTCATTCTTTGTAAACATGTCTCCCTCCTGCCCCGGCTCAGGAGGAGCTCGGCCACACTGAACACGCTGTGTAAGGAAGACAACTCCGGGGGCAGCGCGCAGCTCAGCGAGGTAGAGCGGAGGCTGGAGGTCTGGAGGGGGCCCTGTGCAGGATGTGGCTTCGATAGTTTGTCACTTAAAGATTCTCTGCAATGTTCGCCCTCTGTCCTGAGTAACAGGAAGAGGGCTCTGTTTGGCCCATGGAGGGGGCAGCTCCAGGGCAGGAGGCCCGGGCCTGGCCCACAGTGATGCTGGCTGGGCGGCTCCGGGACGGGTGCAGGGCTGGCACATTGAGCGGGTCTCTGGCTTCCATGTGGGGCCATCCCACTGGCACTTAGCTTCTTCCAGGCTGTTGGGTGAATGGGGTAGGTCGGCACCTTTCTTCCCAAACCAGCCCCGCCTGGCCTTGGAAGCCAGGCCCCTGCTGCTCCTCTGTCTTCACCACCCCTCCAAGGGGAGCGCACCCTGCCTGCCCCAGGGATGGGCACTGCAGGGGACTCCCATGGGCCAGGGGGACACAGGGCTGCTTGGCCTCAGGTCCCACTTGCTGGACCAGAGACAGAGAGGTGAGGTGTGTCTTCTGTGACTTCCCACTGTGCCCTGGAGCACTCGCTGCCAGTCAGTCAGTCAGTCAGTCAGTCAGTCAGTCAGAAAGGGGCAGGGGCAGGCCCCAGGCCCACGGGCACACACCCAGGGAGCGTGGCAGCTGGGAGTGACCCAGAATCGAGTGTGCTGGAGTCAGAGTGGCACTGGTACCAGCTGACTTGGGCCAGCTGTCCAGGGTCTGAGGTCAGGGGTGGTGGGGCAAACGGGGTGAGGAGGCACGGCCTCATGACCCTGTCCCGGACCCTGGCAGAAGCGGCCCTCCAGGTTTGCCACTCTGCTGCGGACCCTCCGGGGAACTCGGAAGAAGGAGCAAAAAAAGGTGAGTGAGCCTGTGTGGGGTGGGGTCCCGGGTCAGAGGAGAGGGGCTTCGCCCTCCCAGCTGGAGGCCTCCAGGTCAGGAGAGGGAGGCCTCCCTCCTCCATCCACCTCCTGTTCCCACAGAGCCTGCAACCCTCCATTAGCAGGGCCCTAGGGGGGGCCTAGAAGAGCTGGGTGCACCATGCCTGTGGGGGTGGGGCTGGGCTGGGGCCACAGGCCCTGTGATTGGCCAGCAGTAGGCCCTGGAGGTGATGAGGAGGAGTTCCTGGAGAGTGAGGGAAGGGGCAATTGAGGGGAGGCTCTAAGGGTCCTGGGCTGCTCCATGTGGGGTCCTGGGGTGGGACAGGAGGCTGAGGGTGGGAAGCTTTCAGGGGATGGTCTGTGGGGCCAGCTGAGAACAGGGGCTCATCCCCCCCTCACCCTGATTGCCTAGTGTGTTCCCTTTCTTGGAAAATTTCTGACTGACCTGGAGATGCTGGACACTACATTGGAAGATTATCTGGAGGTGAGTGTTTTGGGACCTGGGTTGGGTGACCAGGATTGACATTTGGGGAGAGAGAGGCCCTGTACTGAGCCCCTAGTTCTCAGCACAGCTCCCCCATGGAGATGGGCCTCATGCCCTTTCTAGGGACCCATGTGCCCCTCCTCTGGAGCCCAGAGTTTGGCCTCTCCCCAAGTCCTGTCTGTTTGTGTTTCCCGCCCCCTCCTGGGACCTGGTGGTACTGCATCATGAGAAGGGGTGGGCATAGGGGCTTGTCAGGGCCAGGGGCTCTTCCTGATGGACTGGGGCTGTCTGCCTTCCAGGGGAATCAGATCAACCTGGAGAAAAAGGAGAAGGTGAGCAGCTGTGGCACCTCCTGCGGGCAGGGGAGGGCAGTGAACATCAGAGGGCCCTCCCGGCACACTCCTGGGCTCCACCCCGCCTCTTACACTCACTGGGAGAGTTTGATGACAGCAGTGGGAGACCCTCCAGGTGGTGGCTGGGGTAGGGGGGGCCATCAAGGAGCACTGCCTGGAGGAAGGGCTGGCGAAGCCCATCTCTGAGCACAGGTAGGGCCTCATGGAATTAGGGGGAAGGACAGTGCCCATGTGTGCAAAGACCCAGGACCTGTCCCCACGCCACTGCTCACCCCGCTCGGCCGTGTCTGCACCCTCTCCTTCCCTCTGGCCCCAGGAACAGAGAGTCATGGAGAAGATAGTGCTGCTGCAGGAAGCTGCCAACATGTATGAAATAGAGCCCGAGGAGCACTTTGGGGCCTGGTTCTGGGCCCTGGAGCGGCTCAGCGAGAAGGAGAGGTGAGGCCGGGCAGGAGCCGGGTGAGGGCGGGGTGGACTCCCCTGCGGGCCAGGCCAGAGAACCTGTGTCCATGGCTCCCAGGTCACCCCCACCCTTGTTGTGTAGCAACCCCTGGGGCACCTGACCCTGGGAGAGACACCTGAGAGATGGCTGCTGGGAGCTCACAGGTGCCCCTCTGTCCTGTAGTTACATCCTGTCCTGCCAGCTGGAGCCCCGGTCTTAGTTGGCCTGCAGAACACTCCAGGCCAAGAACTGCTTTGAAGGATCTGAAGTTTATTCTGAGACTAAAGGAAGTCATTGAATGATTGACAGCAGAGGAGGAATGATTCTTAAAATGATCTCACTTTCATGGATTTGCCCTCATGGAGCACATATTTGGATACAAAAATCTCCCTTCGGGGAAACTGTTAGGTTTTAGGTAAAGTTTTATTAAGTAAGAACAATACAAACTATTCTTTCTAAGAGTAGCACACAAACACACAGTTTGTATCTTGAGACCAATTTCTTTGATTTTACAGTAAGGAAACTGGACTGGATTCTATTATCCTTTTGCAAAATAAAAGTAGATTTTTTATTATAAAATAATTCATGGTTCTAGGGAGAAAAGAGAAAAGTTTATGTAATAGGTGATCTTCCACATATTAAATTGGAAATAATAATACATATGTATCTTTTCAGATTGGCTAGTGATAGATGCAAATATACGCTTATCCGTATTTGTAATCATTTTATGTTCTATTTCTATGTGATAATATATTGTACTTCTACTATTAAAATATTTCTGAAAAATAACATCTTCTAGTACCTTTTCTCCTGCTATGTCATATATTCTATAATTTACCTCTAGTTAATAGATTTAAAATTATTTTGTTCTCTACTTTTTGAATAATTCTGTGATGATCATCATTGTATAGGACCTCTGCACATTTATTTATTTTTTAATTATTTCCTGAAATTAAAATTTCTGTTTCCAAAACTACGCACATTCTAAATGGTAGTATCTGTGAATTTTGAA